CTACCAGTCCCCAGGATCCCCTCTCAGCCCTGCGAGGGGGCCGACGCTGGCGTGGGGCGGCGAGCGCCGCAGCCCCGTGCTCAGGCAGTGTTTGTGCCGTAGGAGCTGACCACGGTGCGTGTCCAGGACCCCCGGGTGCAGAACGAAGGCTCCTGGAATTCCTATGTGGATTATAAAATCTTCCTCCACGTGAGTTGTGGCTGGGGGGGGGGGGGGGGCGGGGGGTGGTCGTGCTGTACACGAGGCTCACGAGTGGAGTTGTCCGGTGAGGATGGAAGGAGCCACGAAGAGGGAACCCTCAGCAGCTCATCCCTCCTCCTGCGCTGTCTCTGTGTGGGTCTGAGACCCAACTTCCCCCCTGGAACCTGCTCAGGTTTCCTAGGCACTCTCAGCTCCCCAGAGCCCAGTGCTTGGAGAGGATCCCTTAGTCACGGAGCTCAGGGGTCTGTGCTGACGAGATCCTGTCCTCCTCTGCCTTGCTGCCCCTTAATCACGTGGATTATTTTCATAGTGGTGTGGGTTTGGTTTTTTTGCAGACCAACAGCAAAGCCTTTACTGCCAAGACCTCATGCGTGCGGCGCCGGTACCGTGAATTCGTGTGGCTGAGGCGGCAGCTCCAGAAGAATGCTGGCTTGGTGTAAGCATGCCTTGTTCTCCCTCCTTTCCCCTTCCTGCAGCCAGACACTTTCCCATTGCCCTGGGAGACCCAGGTGATCTCAGAACATGTGGACAGAAACCCCAGACACCAACACGGGATACCTGAGCTCCTGGGATCCAGCTCTGCACAAAGCAGGCTCCTGGCCGCTGCTGCCACCGTGTCCCGTGTCTCCTTGCCCTGGCACTGGGGTGATCTGACCCTGAACTGCTGTCTCCACTCTGTGCCCGCAGGCCTGTCCCAGAGCTGCCTGGGAAATCCACCTTCTTCGTGGGCAGCACGGATGAGTTCATCGAGAAGCGGAGACAGGGGCTGCAGCAGTTCCTGGAGAAGTGAGTAGAGCGTTCCTGAGGGCTGGATGGAGAGGACACACTGCTCCAGTCTTTCTTAGAAGATGCTGGCTGTGAGGTGGCAGCAGAGCT